ACAGAAGTGAAAAGAACGAAGAAAGCAAGATTATCCCTTACCTGAATTAGCTAAACCCGTTGATATAGAATTACTTATAGAATTAGATTCGACTTCTAATTCTCTATCTAAAGATGCTGCGATGTTCAATGGTTCATCTAAATTCAAATCTTCTAATGCACTTCCTGTTGGGAGAAATTTAGGATAAATTTCTGCAACACGCAAACTGCAAAATAAAATTTTCTGTTTCGAGTCTAATGTCCCACTTTTGTTCATGCTTCCTACTATAAACACTACTTTCAATGAACAGAACAGATATCAGTTCATCAGTAACAAATGTTAAACTAAACATACAGTCAGAGGAACATGTTTTTTGCAAGTGCTTACTGCCCCAGGTAGTGTACATGTCATAATTATGGCAAATGATACTTAATTCAACTTCATTAACATTCTGTCAGTCAAGACAAGACTCTGACCAATACAATTCCAAACAAACAGAGAAATTGTGTCATTAAGGAAAATTTCACCTAAATGGAATAATCCAATCTTGTGACTTCTAAACACTCATCATCTCTGCAAATACCTGCCCTTTTTTTTTTTTTTTATTAATATGTTTCTATGGCTAATATATTATTATTCTACTTAACATGTTGATGCAGCAGTATGTATAACATTAACTCTCCAGTTCCTTACCACATTCTTGCTCCCTGACATCCTCACCACTGACTCCCCATACTTTTAAATGCATGTCAAGTCATGGTCATTAAACCTAATCAAGTATCTCATTGCAGAATAATCAGTAATCAATTATTTAACAGTTCTCTACAATCACACAATCTCTCAATACTATCCATTACTCTTCTTAAAATGTTTAATGTTACTTAATAAAAAGTAATCTAAAAATAAATCATAATAAAACAGTAATAATGATAATTACTATCAATATCATTGTCAAGGTCACTACTATGACTAATCTAGGAACAACTATGAACTGGAATATGTTAAAAACAAAACAGCAAATTCTATAAATATCAATTCAGAAAATGGCTTATCTTCCTAAAAGAACTGACAGCACACCATAGGCTACTTACCTACTACTGATTCTACCGTATCACTGGTTGGGTAGAATGGTGGTGCCAGAGGAGACACAGTTGATGACAAACTAGAAGGCAGTGATGAGACGAAGGAGGAGGAGGGTGTGACGGGCATGGAGACTGGTAACGTGACAGGCAAAGTGACGGGTAAGCTGGCCACAGGGGGGTGACTGGGTACCATGTTTGACAGGAATAAGCTTTGTTTCCGCTTATTCTTTTCTAATGGGTCTAAAGTGGGATCACTGTCGATGGCTGCTAATTGCTTCTTGAGGTTGGCTTCCCGGTCTTCACGCTCTGAGCCTGGGGCTTTGTGGTAAGATCCTAAACTGCCCACACCAATACTGCCTAAATTCAAGCCTAGGGGGTCATTCTGCCCGCCCAGTAAAGTGTTTCCACTGTAGTGACGGGGTTTGCTGCCTATTGGGGCCAGGGGAGTCTGAGAATGACTTGGACCATTGCCAAACACTGAGTCTTGATTATTACCTGAACTTGTACCCTGCGGAAAGATATGGAAGCCCTGAGTGGAAGAGAGGCACTTCAACATTAAAAAATTTCTTTGTTCTGTGTAAAGTATATTACACCAAATACTTAAAATATACCTCAAATAAATGGGAATGCAGTGTAACTATTACAGCAGTGTGAAAGTGTATAGGGTTAAGAAACCTACACAAATATAGTTTTGGAAACAAAAGGTTCACAAAACCCTCTTCAAAGTATAACTTACATGATTGTGTTTGTTATTACATTCCGAGTTACTAGAGGTTGGAGTGGAGCTGCTGACACTGCAGGAAGAGGCAGGAGGCAGACTTACATTGTCAGCTGGCAGTGCAGACTGAAGAATGTCAGCAAGGCTCGTGCCCGTGCAGTTCTCACTCGCTGCTGTTTCTCTGACTTGGGTCATCTCCTCTGTTGTGGAAAAGGATGAGAAAGTGTAAATACTTCTAATACTGATAATGTTTAAGTAACTATGAATGATTTGTTGAGGCCTGGGCCAACTGAATCACAAGTGGCTTGGATCTTTCTTGTTTTTCTTTCTTTCTTTTTTCTTTTTTTCACTCCTGATCTTTGAGCCTGAGAAACATATGATTATATAAAAAACAGCTCTCACCTGCAAGCACATTATCTACCCAATCTTACACTGTCACTCCATAGCCCACTGCCCTCTATGTACCCAAACTGGCCATGCCCATTGAAACTGCTCTGCACAATCACATAAATGTGCCAATTGTGGTGACTCCCATAATGTATTTTATAGGACTGTTCTGCCTATTAACTTGAATGTGAGGTGGCAGTTCTCAGATTCAAGCTAGGCCCCACTCTTCGTGAAGCCAGACAGGAAGCATGGGTACAAGGTTTTTCTCTCACAACTTATTCTATAACATTCCTTCATTCTGCTCCTCTCCCATCTTCTCAAGATGTTTCAGCAT